CTCACAGCCCGAACACCCGGCTGCTTATACTGCACCTTGGGCGGCACTACCAGTCGCCAATCCTTGGAGGACGCCCGATAACCGACCAATATGCTACGCCTGCTTCACTCCCGGACATGTTGCCCGCTACTGCCGCCATCGACCTCAGACGTTCGGCGACTATGTCCGATCATCGCAACCCGGCAGCCAACCCTTCGCGCAATACGGGCCGGTCTCGTCACCTCGCTATGCCCCTCCCTCCCAACGACCCCGACTTCGTAAGGCCGCGCGCACCCTCTCCTCGTCGGCGATTGCCCTCCCCCATGCGTCGCCGGCCCAGACCCTCTGACCAGGAAAACTAAGCACCGCAGTTCAAGAGGCAAGAACTGCGCCATTTTCGAACTGTATAAGCCCTCGCCCCTCTCCTGCTAACGTGGTCGCAGTAACTGTTGAAGGTTATTGTACTTTCGCCCTTGTAGACACCGGCGCCGCTGTTTCTGTTATTGCCGCTAATGTCTGCCATGTATTATGTAAAGTCACGACGCCGCTTTCGGGACTGTCACTCCACACCGCAAGTGCACAGCAAGTAACGCCTCTCGCAGCCTGCACTGCAAGAGTGTCCATCGAAGGCATTGTTTACATTGTGGAGTTTATTGTCCTCGCTGTCTGTTTGCATGATGTCATCCTCGGAAGGGACTTCCTATCCCGCCATAATGCCGTCATCGACTGCGCACGCGCTGAAGTTGAGTTTTCACCCTTTTGTGAGGTCCCATTACTTGACTTTCTTCATCAGCCGCCGAAGTTGTTCGTGCATAAAGATACCGATATTCCACCTGAAAATTTCGCACTTGTTCCAGTTTTATGCAACGCCTACACTGACGCTACAGTTTTTTTCATGCCTTCCGATATCTTCACGAGTCGTCAAGCTCTTCCGCTGCCTTTCGCGACGATTGACCTTGCCGCCGGAAGAAGCAATATGTTCATACTCAACCCGCTTTCCACACCTGTCACTTTGCTTGCGGTGGAATGTCTCGGCCGCATGCAGGATCTAGACCCTTCGTCTTTGGTTGATGTCCTGGATGACTACTGCGACCACCTAAAATCACTGTCGGCGCTCGAAGAGTCCTCCAAGGATACGTTTTCCAGCGCCATCGCCGACACCCTCACTCCCACCAAACATGCCGACCTGCTTGATCTTCTGCGTGAGTTTCGGAATTCTTTCGATGTGTCTCAATCTCAACTAGGCCGCACATCGCAAGTCAAGCATCATGTTGACACCGGCCTACACCAGCCACTGCGTCAAAGACCATACCGTGTCTCCACTGAAGAGTGCCGCGTCATCAACGATCAAGTCGGAGATATGCTTCGTAGAGGCGTCATTCGACCATCTCACAGTCCCTGGGTGTCTCCTGTCGTCCTGGTGCGTAAGAAAGACGGATCTATCCGATTTTGCATGGACTATCGTCGTTTGAATAAGATAACCCGCAAGGACGTATATCCTTTGTCGCGCAGTGATGACGCCATTGACACCCTTCACGGAGCGGAATTCTTCTCGTCGCTAGATTTGCAGTCTGGCTATTGGCAAGTTCCAGTGGCTGAAGCCGATCGCCAAAAAACTGCATTTATTACACCTGTCGACCTATACGAGTTTAACGTCATGCCCTTTGGGCTTTGTAACGCGTCCGCCATGTTTGAACGACTTATGGATAATACGCTACGTGGCCTCAAATTGAATATGTGCCTCTGCTACCTCGACGATGTCGTGGTTTTCTTGCACGACTTTCCTACGCACCTCCTTCGCCTCAGGCACGTTTTGACTTGTCTGACCAACGCTGGCATGCAGCTTAACCTGAAAAAATGCCGCTTCGCTGCACGCGAGCTCGTCATCTTAGGCCACATCGTGTCGAAGCACGGCGTATTCTGACCCAGCAAAACTTCGAGCAGTCGCAGAATTTCCCAAGCCGACGACCATAAAGGAACTTCGCAGTTTTGTAGGCCTATGTTCATATTTTTGGCGCTTTGTTCGCAATTTTGCATCCATCATGTCATCATTAACCCAGCTTCTTCGCGGTGACGTGAACCTCTCCTCCTGGTACCCTGCATGTGACGTTGCCTTCACTACTCGGCGCCGTCTGCTTAGCTCCCCATCTATTCTTCGCCACTTCGACCCGACGGCTCCTATCGAAGCGCACACCGACGCCAGTGGCGTTGGGCTAGGCGCTGTCTTCGCTCAACGAAAGCCCGGCTATTCAGAATACAATGTAGCCTACGCTAGCCGCACTCTGACGAAAGCCGAAACTAATTACAGCGTGACAGAAAAAAAGTGTTTGGCTCTGGTGTGGGCGCTTGGAAAGTTCCGGCCGTACTTATACGGCCGCTCGTTCGATCTAGTAACTGATCATCGTGCGCTTTGCTGGCTCTCCTCGCTGAAAGACCTTTCTGGCCGCCTTGCGCGATGGGCACTTTGCATCCAGGAGTACGACATTCGCGTCGTATACTGCTGCGGACACAAACACTCCGACGCTGACGCCCTGTCCCGCTCAGCTTTGCCACCAGATCCGACGTGCGGAAACACGTGCCTCCAGACCTTGTCATCATTAAATCTTGACTCAATTGCCACCGAACAACGTCGTGACCCGTGGGTCGCATCTCTTCTCGAATATCTATCTGGTACGCCCAATCTTCAGGTATCTCGATCCCTCCGACGTCAAGCTTTCCATTTTGCCATCTGCGATCAACTTCTCCATCGACGCAACTACTCTCCTGATGGCCGCCGGTGGCTACTGGTCATTCCACGCACTTTACGATCGCAGGTATGCGCCTCTCTTCACGACGATCCACAATGTGGCCACGCCGTGGTGTTCAAAACATATGAACGCCTTCGCCATCGCTATTACTGGCGCGGCATGTACAATTTTGTACGCAAATTTGTGCATTGCTGTCCTGACTGCCAGCGACGCAAATCAACACCGCTACGTGCGACTGGTGAATTGCAGCCGCTTCCGTGCCCTGCCAAGCCATTTGATCGCGTTGGTGTTGACTTCTACGGCCGCCTTCCATTGACACCAGGTGGCAATCGGTGGATTATAGTGGCGGTCAACCATCTAACATGCTACGCCGAAACAGCTGCTTTACAGAACGCTACCGCTCAGGATGTCGCCTCTATCATTTTACGTCGATTTGTCCTTCGACATGGCGCACCTCGAGAGCTCCTTAGTGACAGTTGCCGCGTTTTCCTCTCCGAGGTCGTCGAAGCTCTGCTTTCGGAATGCCACGTCATTCATCGGAAAACGATAGCATACCACCCGCAGACTAATGGGCCAACGGAACGGTTTAACCGCACGCTTGGTGATATGCTATGCTCTCAATGTACGTCGCATCTAATCATAGCAACTGGGACCGTGTTCGCCGATACGTCACATTCGCATACAATACTGCAATACAAACAACCACGGGACTTTCACCTTTCTTTCTTCTTTATGGACGTGACCCTTCCCATACAATTGATACTGTACTTCCCTACTGCCCTGATGTTTCTGAATGTCCACCTATCTCCGATGCTGCTCGACAAGTTGAAGAGTGCCGCCAGCTCGCCCGTGCGTTCACCTCGGACGAGCAGCAACGCCAGAAAGAAAACCGTTGCACCTTTCTTCCGGATCCCAGCTATGCCCCAGGGTCTCTCATGTGGCTTGCCATCCCATACCAAACTCCGGGACTCTCCTCAAAACTTGTTTCCCGGTACGAGGGGCCTTACACCGTTTTAGAGAAAACCTCTCCGGTTAATTACCTAATTGAGCCAGTTTCCTGATCGGATGACATGCGCCGGCGTGCACGTCACATCGTCCATGTTTCCTGCCTAAAACCGTATCATGAGCCTCTCCCTGAAACTTGTTAGGTTGCCAGGATGGCTCCTTTTTCAGCGGGGGCGATTGTGAAGAAGATGTGCCTGCAGCAAGCAGCGTCGCCAACGCCCGGCTCTCTCGGCTCGTGCTTCGGTTTGTTGCTGTGCCGATCGCTGGACGGTTCTTCACGCTATCTCGTCGCTGTCTTTAACGCCTAATAAACCTCCTCACAATATATATATATATATATATATATATATATATATAAACAAACTCTTGAATTGAAAAAAACTGATCTACCTAAGGAAATCTTCTGGCACATTTTGTAAACATGCTGAAGTGAAAAATGACAGCTTTATAAGCCAAAGAAACAAGTTTCGAAGGATAGACAGAAAAGAGAGACTGTGGTAGTGACTGCAGAGAATTTCCAGTTAAGATGGATATTTGAGGATTAATAAAATAAAGTTTGTGCTGTCTCTGCTGAAATTTTTGTCTTCAGAATCCTTGAAATTCTGAAATTGTCCTTAAATTATAAATCAGACATCTTGTATGAACCCTGTTGTTAGAGTAAGTTGGAACTAGCACCCTTAAAACAATTGCTGAATCACCGCAACACTTGCATTTTTATCTGTACTAGAGCAATCTTGATGTTCCATCATTGTCATAAAGAAAAAAAAAAAAAAGAAAACTTCCATGTGGCCGCCATGAAATGCTGTGGCGCTATTCGGTTGGCGGAAACCCAAGTACTAGTGATTTCACGACTACCGATGACATCTTGGGCCTGACAGCATCAGAAAAATTTGATGGAGATAACATTGCTAACATTTTGTCTTCACTGAAATGAGGTGAAGCAAAGACTCATTTTGATATGACTTTCTATTATTTTACGATGATTGTAGAGAACAAATAATAAGAGCAAATTTAGACCAAACCAGGTGGCTAATTGCTGCAACAGTGCGGCACAGTAAGCTGCATCCAACACTTCCAAGCAACGAGCAATATTTTACAGCTGGATTTTATGTCAGGTTGCAGCAGAGAGCATTTTTATTGAAGGAGTTGGGGGGGGGGGGGGTTTTACCAAGTCAAGCATTTTTTTATACATTCCACTCCCCCTACTCCTTTTATTTATATTCTATTTGTGGATAATTTTAATGTGGTGCTTGTCGCGTTCTGTTCCAGACTGAAAAGTGGCCTTCTCCAAAGAATTGCTTGTGAAAAAGAGTAAGCTTTTCTTTGTTGTACTGGTTTTTATTTGTGCTTAGCATTTAAGCATTATCTGTTGTGAGTAACGAAGGGTTTTCTTTGAAATATGTTAATTATTCTTGTTTATTGCTATGGAGTTAGTGGTCACTTGACTGGCTAGTACCCTGCTGTGCATAGCATTTTAAACAAAATTTCAGGATCATTGTTTTACTTTGTGACATGTTTAAATGGTAAATGTTTTGTTGTTAGTACCTTCAGTCAAACATGCATATATCGAATTTGCAAAAAAGGAAGTGGACTTAGGTCCGTATATCAGATAATTCGATATACAACTTTCATAGAAGTTATTATATTTTCACTGTGAACTTCAGTGCAGAAGTTGACTTTCAAAATGACCCTCGATAATGTCATTGTGGTGTTTCTTTTTAATTTTGTATTTTTTCCCAGTGTGTAATTGGGGATGTGGGGTTGTGTGCCTGGGTGGGTATTGAGAATACGGTATTGATATAATAAATACTTAGCTCCTCATAATTAGCATACTCTGCTGAGCGTACTCGTTGGGTCCTGGAAGCTTCTAGTCTGCCTTCTCAGCGTGCTTCATGGGATGCTGTACACAGTGTAGACGTCAGGCGTCTTTTCTCCGCATTCGACTGTGTTGATTATCGTCAGCTTGTGGAGAACAGCAGCCTTTGGCGTTTCACAGCATCTATCGCAATATGAAAATGAACCGAAACGTGAAAGGACACCACGCATGGCTGGTGGCTTAACGACGAGGAACCAAGGGGGGGGGTGTAGTGGAAAGCAGTAGTTTCTACTCACTCCCTGTGGCACCATCTTAACCACTGCTCGCTCTCGCAAATGCATGCAGGAAGGTCGCCTTCTTTGAAGAAAGGAAAGTAACTTTTTTTGGGTATTTCATGCTGCCTGATGTTCAATATGTCAAGTCTACTGGCTAATTTTGTGCGGTTTAATCGTAAATTACATTGACGATAAAGCATTGCCATGTTCCGAAATAGTTCGCTATAAGGGATAATATTATTTACCCAAGATGAATTCTGTCGTATTCGACTGTATTGCATTTTGCGGAAAGTGGACATGAGCTTAATACTGGCCTATCTTATGTTCGCATTTATACAGTCGATCTCGGACATATCGAACTCGAAAAGGATATATTGAAATGGATATATTGATAATTTGATATAAGAAATATGCATATTTAAGGCTTATATTAATGCATTGAAACTCTTGAAATGGCTTTAGGAAGTCGCCATATGAGTTAGCATGACAGTTCGCTCACGGTATGCTTAACAAAAGGTGACAATCTCCTTTGCAAGTTTCCGCACTTTATTTTGCATGAAAATAGTCTGTAGACTTGGCTAGCCTTTTGCGCCCCATCATGTTCGTCAAGTCATCCTCATTAATGGAGCATTCAAGCTTTCAAAATAAGCAAACTCAACTCATTCAGCCACTATAGCAGCGATTGAGGGTGTGCACCAATGCAAGCTCTGAAGCCCGGTAAAAATGTCGTTTAGTGGCGGCGTCAGTATCTTCATAACTGCACGGGTCTACTTCTGCGGCACCAATAACGTCAGCCATGATATTAACATTGATGCAGTTAGGGGTGTCGTCATCCAGCACCGATGAAGTAGCTTTCTGTCCTCCTATGCAAGGTGGCACCTGGAAATGCTAATAAGTAGCTAAAATCACTGAGGCACCGTACACTGTTGTCAGCTAAAATGATGCGCACTAAGTCACCACCTGTCACCAAAGCCCACAAGAAAACTGCGCACGACGGTGCCTTGCTCGACGTCGTTCCAAGCACCAGTCATTATTTTTATTGCTACGAGTGATGCAATGTTTAGTTCCACTCGAGATGGAAGATTCAGCCATAACGAAGAGAGACCTACTGAAGTGCACAGGCTGAAAGTCACAACGCTGTCCCCAAACAACAAACGAAATGTCCGTGTAACGCACCATTGATATTTCAGCTATGACGATGACACTAGAGGCTTTGTAGCAACAAGCGAAGTGCAAAAAAAAAAAAATAGCGTAGCCTTCGATAGTTGTATTTTATAACCTAAAACATCAGAAATGCATCACTAAGTTGCAGATCTTGAAGGCCATGCTTTTTAGCCTCGCATGCTGTCATGTATGAGCGAACAAGAAAGGATTGCGCACATCGCGACGAGACTCCTGGGTCACTTCGCCATGTGATTTTGGTCTCGTCGGCAGTTGGCCATTTTGGAAACACTGTGTCTGCGTGTTACAACCTACAATAGATTGCGCATCACGTGCCGGTGCACTCTCAAATGCTGCGCAACCAACGAATCAACGAAGATGGGAACCAACGATGATGGGATCAAAACTTGATACAATGCGGCTGAAAAATGAGCAATCTTTGTCATTATAAATGCACTTTCTGGGCTTCGGCCCGGCACAGCGTTTGATATGTCGGATGTTACATTCTGCGGGAGTTTGATATACGTGTGGAACAATCCCACACTTTTGCATGGGAAATTCAAGGGGATTTATCAACTGTTTGATACAGTGAATAATTCGATATATCAGAGTTCAACATACTCGGGATCGACTTTAGTTTGTACCCTATTGATAATTGTTTAGGATATGTATATGCTGGAAACAGTGCTGGAGCCAGCACTTCAAGCAGTCGAAACATTGGCTTCAGCAACATTCCTTGCTCCATGTCTCAACTCTTTTACAGCAAATAAAAAAAATAATGGTAAAAAGGGCACTCTAATCAAGAAGTGAATTAGGGAAAAGTTGGCATTCATACATGAGTCTGCCAACTCACTCATAAGTCGACTCACTCGTACTCGCTCAGATTCTGATTGGGCATTAGTTAAAGTGAGTCTGAGTGAGCTTGACCGAGAACAGTTTTAGTGAGTCGAAGTTTGAGTGAGTACAGTTGGAAGAAAATTTTGGTGAGTCTGACTTCAAAAGCACAAAATGTATTTCTTCAGTGAGTGAGTGAGCTCCACATTTTTGCTTACCTATGGTGCTGAACTTCTGCATGCATAGACATGAGCCTTATGTCTGTTCAAGTCTGTATATGCGTCTAGTCACATCTACTTGATTGCATTGGCATTGATGTGCCTGATTAATACTTATCACCATGAGTTACGAAAGGGAGAATGCCTTCACTGCCCCTTGCAAATTATTTCATAGGAATTTCATGATAAAATATCTTGTGTGACCTGTTTCTTTCAATAAAAATACGCTCACTGAATTGCAACCACTGATACCTCGTACTTGGTACTTGAAGATATGGGATCAAAAGCTACCATGTAGAGCACCGATTACCTGAGATATTATTGTTAAAGGGCATTGACACCATGGTTGAAAAAGCTAATAGTGCGCTAATGGAATTATGAGTCGACTCACTCAGACTCGGATCGCGCTTTGAGCCTGAGTCATGTCGAGAAAATTCATAGCGAGTCCAGTTGAGGAAAATTTCGGCGAGTCTGACTGAAAAGCTCAAGATCCTTGGGCGAGTATGAGTGATCTCTCATATTTTTGCCGACCTATGCATTCAACTGTTTGTAGCATGAAGTGCAAGAATTTCTGTACAGATTTCTCAGAAAGGAAGCTGCAGGCTTACACTGACTTTATTTGTCACATTTAGTGTTGTGTGCTTCAAGCTGTTGCTTGGTTCACCCTTTCGCTCCAGTGTGCTGCCAGTCTGTCTGTTTGCTCATGTGGTAGAATAGCTGCTTCAGAGAGGAGTTGGTCCTGGGTTTGATTCTTGCACCAGGCAAAAGTTTTTTTGCCAACTGGAGCACTTTCTTTCTGAGGAATCAGTATGGCTTTCTTTGTAGCTTTATGCTACGAATGGATGGATGACAGTTTTTTTTATTTCATGAACCTTCCTCTGCCTCGTGACTTATGCTGGGCTTATTGTCAAGCATAATCAAGGAATTTTATACTGGCTCATCTTTTTGTGTGTTGAAACTAAACTGCCATGTGGGAGGTGGTGCCAGCAGCAGTAGCAGATATTAGCGCACCACAATATTCTTTGGGTGCACGTTTGTAGTGTACGACATGATAATGCGGGCAGAGTTCAAGGAGAGCAAGTTTTGCACATTTTGTGACTGCATGTAAGAAGTAGTGATGTTGAACTGCCATATGAAATGCTTGCTCACCTGAATTTTATGCAATCTGTAAGAGAATACACTATAGTTGAATAGCTTCAATTGAGATAAATAAATACCTCATTATAAGCCAAGTCCACTTATAATGATGTCCAAGGGCCAAGGTAATTTCATCATTATAACTGATAATTGTTATAAGCGGGATGACAAAAAAATGATGAAAGAGAGATGAAAACATTTTATTTACATGCAAGTAAGATTCTGCAGCTGTGTACCACTTGTTCGCAGAAAGAACTTAGTTTCTCAGCTTTTTTTTTTTTTTTCATGCGAAGTTCATGTACATCTTTTTCAAGAACAGTTAGGTGCTCTACCTATGAAAGATCGAGGCCGTTCACGAAAACAAGGTCCTGGGGGGACTGGATCATCTGCTGGGCCTCCTGCGATGACAGTGCTTGGATAGGCTGATCAAACGTGTTTTCAGAGTCTTCGCTCTGACCACTATCTGCAGCACACCGTGCTCAGTGCAGAGACCCACTTGTGGCACGTGCTGTAGGCGCACTCAGTTACTATATTTGATATTACAGCACTGGAACATTGTAATAAGTAGTTTATTCTACCATATAGAAAGCACATAAAAGTGCATGGTGCCATCGTTGTTCATTGTTATATTTGATATATTGCAATAAACGATATCATCATAAGTGGACTCGACTGTATGTAGTTAGATAGTATAGTGCATACCATGGGATTTATATGAATGCTGGGCTGAATAGGCACTTTCTTGTGGATTGCTCCAAGGGTAATAGAATTTTCCTCGTTTTATTGATTAGGGTTTGATTTTACATGTTCCTTTGATTAGGTTCAATCCTTAGCAGACGGCTTCTTTTTCGATAAATTTATTGCCCCAAA